TTTATTTCTTTGCTCTGGTAGATTTTTAGGGAATTTCCTTGGAAGCATCTTTCTCCCTTCAAGGACTGCCCATACATCTTTCTCGTTGTTAAGAGCCACTTCAGCATGAGGGCTCAGATCTGATGCTGGCCCTTGACTGGAAATCTGTAACGCCCGTGTGGGTCAATGCAGCTTTAATACCCCATGGCAGAGCAATCACCTTCTGCAAAAAGGCAGCACTGGGTCAGCTCTGGCCATGGGCGTTCACAGATAAATGGCTTCTACAGCAGCAGGTGCCTTGCTCGACTTGACAGGTCTCTGCAGAAGCAGGTTCTCTGAACCCTTGGTTGTGTCTCTGCCTGGATGTGACTTGGCAGGCACAGGCTGGCCCTGTGCTGTGTTTCAGGCTGGTGACAGAACTCCTCTGGTACCCAGATGTTGCTGAACAGTGGTCTGCACTCAGAGGCTGCCCTGTGAGGTACAGCAAAAGGAAACTTGAGCATGACACAGCACACACTGCTCCCACCTGTGGGTATCCCACCCTCTGGGTAGAACTGTAGGCTGCCTGTACAGGGAACAGGGGCTGTGGCAGTGTTAGCCTGATTGTCTTAGAATCACGGAATCATCATAGAATGGTTTGGGTTTCAAGGTTAATTATCATCTAGTTATAACCCTCCTGCCATGGGCAGGGACACCTTTCACTAGACCAGGTTGCTCAAAGCCCCATCCAGCCTGGCCTTGAACACTTTCAGGGATGGGGCATCCACAACTCTGTGAGCAACCTGTTCCAGTGTCTGACCACCCTCACAGTAAAGAATTTAATCGTAATATTTAATCTAGACCTGTCTGCCTGTCCTCTTTCAGTTAAAAGCCATCACTTCTATGTCCTATCACTACATCACTGTCTTTCAAAATACCACTTAATACCTTTTGTTTGTTGCTTTTTAATCCAGAAAATTTTCTATTAAATCCAGTATATCGATACGTTAAGCATCATATTAACCATGCCCATATGCAGTTATGAAATTATCCCCAGGGAGCTCTAAACCCATCACAGCGTCTCAGCTGTAAGAGGACAAGGAAAGCAGCACCACATGTGGTAGGTGTGAATGGCACTTCCCTAGGTTTCTATTTTTGGTGGTGATGGAAGAGTTAAAGATTTGTTTTCCACAGGAAGAACAGACAAAAACAAACAGCAGTGACAGTAATTGCTCTGGCTTATTTTATTTTAGTTGTCAATGGTGAGGTTTTTATATACCATCACTTGCCAGCACTTAATTGTTGTCACAGAGCCTCAGCTGCCAAATTACCTGTCTCCTGCTATGTGAAGGGCTCTTATGTCATTTGCCTTCTGAAGAAGCCATGGCCATTCCAGAGTTAAGGCTGTGTTATTTTTTGCTTCACACAGGTACTAAACACTTTTCCTTGTGTTAAGTATAAATAGAAGATCAGGTTGTCTTTCAAACAACTGAGCAGGCTGGTGGGAGAGGAGGCTGCTGACAGCAGGGAGCTGCCGCCCCATCACCAACAACATTCTGAGCTGGCACAGGAGAGCTGGGCAGAGTTAGCTGTAGCTTCGAGAGCGACCAGATGACCTAAAAAGCAAGCAGGAACAATCCACCTACAAGCACAGTGGACGAGTGGGGGAGCGTGGTGCATAAAGCTGCTCTGTTTTCTTTAAATAGAAAGTGTCATAGAGATGAGGTCTAGGTCAATGTTCTGGCCACAACTTGCTTCTGCCGTGGCACACCGATCTCTCACAGTACTCACACTGATCTTTCACCAGAACCTCTGTGTTTACATTGCCTGAGATTTTACCCTCCATACCTGAAGGGCTTCATACAACTGAGTGCTGCTGCATTGCTGCAGAAGGCAGGCACTGGGGCTGGCTGGCTGGGTAATGCAGGGAAGAGGGAACTGGCTGGGTGGTCTCTCCACATCTCGCATTTTAACAGGTTCACATTTTCATTTTATTTCCATCTGCTTTACCTTCAGGTTCATGACACCCCGGTGTTGTAATTTACCCAGAGCTTATGGACAGATGAAGACTTAAGGGGAATTTTGTCTAAGTATATTTTCTGCTAGCCTGGTGCAGATCAGAGACTTCAACCAGTCTACTGAGGTTTTGATGAATGCGCTGATCACCCACTGTTTGTGCTCCAGAGATAAAAATCCTTAGTTACTCCATTCTATCTGAATTAAGACTGCTTGGTTCACTCGGTTTTTTGTCTCTGGCAGATGTGCAGCATAGCAAAGGGAGAAGCTGCCTTCTAGTCACTCAACCAGAGGGCCTGGCTGTGATCTGATCTCCCTGCCCTGGGTACCCTCCTAAGGACATGAAGCCACAAAGGGGAGAGTTTGGTAAATGCCCCATTGTCTCCAGGACATGAAATTATAAGAACAAGACATTACTAGGGTACACGCAGCTTCCACGTGCTCCTGGGTCAGTTCACACCCCATGTCTGTAGTTTATAGAGCAGGAACGCTCAAGGTCTAGGTTCTGGTTTCAGATCAAGCATCTCATTTCCTGCCTTCCTTCCACGAAAAACTTTCATCCTGCTGTACTGAACTTGCCAGCAGTGTTGGGAGATGCAAAACACAGATCATCCTAGAATATTGTGTCTGGTCTGAGAAGAAAAAGAAAATAATAATGAGGTATTATAATTTGACTGTTGTGGTGTGTGAAACTGTCAAAAGAAGCCCCTTGCCCACACCCTGGTGAAGATGTGAGGCTGTGCCCCAGTGAACCAACTGCTTGCCTCTGGGATGGAAAATACTTTGTTTTGAAAATGTGCAAAGATGTTAATGTTTAACTGGGAAAGGTTGCGTTATCTGCCGAAATCAACAAAGTGCACCCACAGAGGAGTCAAACGGGACATTCTGTCTGTGCTTCACAGCTGTGTGAGGAAACAATCACAGTGAACACTGTCCACCTCTCATGCAGAAGAATCACACAAACCCCACAGAGGCCCTTTCTTACATATGCTATTGGAACAGGGCTTACAAAAGCTTCAGCTCATGTGTGGGCCTTCCACCGAGAACTGAATTTCTACCTTGAAGGTGAAATCTCGGTTAGCATGACACCATCTGTCTAACTTACCCATTTTGCATGAGAACATGATGCACTTGCCCAACATTTTGAGTGCTGTGTAGAGCGACTGTATAGGGAGACCATGAGAGAAAAGTGCTTCTGGGAACTACAGGAGTTTTATACTGAGTTCTTTAAAGCACATGAATAATACTTGCCTGAAATGTTACTTCCTTGTACAAGATAAAAGTTTCTTTAAGCAGAATTCAAACAACATTTATTTCAATAAATACTTTCAGGGAACTTCAGGTTTATAAAGGTAATTTGGTAAAAATTGGGTTTTAAATGAATACTGAAAGGAAAAGACTGAAAAGTTACTAGTTTTGAGTAACTTATTCAATGATAAGAATAATCAGGCAAAAAAATGTTTGGAAGTCTGAAAATTCAGAGATAGTATCCAGTGATTAACTATGTTGTCTCCTTTCCTAGTCACGGGTAGCTCATGGCTGCAGTAACAGTTTCATTAAATTCCAGGTATGCCATCCATCCTGCCCTCTGCTTGCTGGTGCTTTGCCATAGCTCCTCTTCCAGTCTGCTCTGGGAACCGAATGCACTCCAGTCTGGGCAGGGGCTTTTTGGTAAATCCAGTTGCACTGCCTGCTGACATCAGGCTCAGACGTACAGCATCTGGGAAAAGAATCAGTTGATCTGCTGGTCTTCTGGTCCCCAGCACAGGTGACACTGTACGGGGCAAGTTGTTTTGATTCTGCTGTTTTGCTTCATGGCTGGGGCAGGGACAAAGTTTGGGAGCTGGGTGTGGGGGCAGAAGGGGAGAAATTTGGCAGCCTCTTTACTAGTGGAGTAAGTTGAGAAAGATATTTTTTTTTTTGTATACAGTTAAAAATTCACATTTATTCTATGAACGTATTTCTAACTACAACCCTCAGTATAAATGAAAACTCCCCTGTTGTGTTTATAAAACATATCTACACTGCTGGAAGGCAAAGCCCAATGCTGGCACAATAACATGCAAGGCAGGTTGAACCAGTTCAGCGCAGCTGAACTTCTGAACCAGAGCTGGATCACATCCCACACTTTGACGCATAGACGGAGATGACCACATGACTTCCCTCACTAGATCACATAAAAACACCCCCAAAGACAGTGTCTGGAGCCTGCTTAGACCCAGGGGGCTGAGCATGACAGAGGAGTTGTTTCCAGAAGCAGTAG